AAGGTCAGAAACTTCCTGTTTGGTCAAAATGTAACTGTGTCAGTCATGTGGCATATGAATGTGAGAAACAAGCTTCTTGTTGGGTAATTGTGAAATACATTTCCAGATTCAATGGTAACATTTGTTTTGTCATTTTAAAGAAGCAGACTGTATTCATCTTCTGGAGCAACAACTGAACAACTGACTCACCCAGAATCTGATAAGTGTTTTATTCTTGCTGTAACTAAGTTGTCTTTATAGCTGTACTTAGGCTTGCCTCAGTTGTGATTGGACTGTGAGTTTCTGCCTGTCTGAGGAGGTGTGATTTAGTCTCAGCTGCTGAATAGCTTTGCTAATTGCAAGGGAGGAGCCTGCACTCCTGGCAGACAATCAGTAGATTGCTGTCCTTAAGCACTTCTGGAGGTTGGAAGCGTCAGGCAAACAAACGAAGGCTAGGGTGAACAAAGGCAACAGGGCGACTTTTTCAAGCCCGACTTCGTCAAGCTAAGACTTCTCGAACGTTACCGCATTTTTATTTGTCAAACCATGTGTTTGCATCCGATTTCGGACCGCTCCTCTGCTCGGTGGTCACGTAGACATTGGGCCACTCCCAGGTGCCGTGATCCCACTAACCTCATTTATCCTACTGCCTCAGCTCATGTTGAGCAAGTGGTGGTGGGGGGGCTCTGGAATTGCCAGTCGGCAGTGCCGAAAGCTGAGTTCATCTCAGGCTACGCTTCCTTGCTCTCCCTCAGCTTTCTTGCTCTAACTGAGACCTGGATCACGCCAGAAAATACCACCACACCTGCAGCTCTGTCAGAAGTGTACTCTTTCTCTCACACTCCCAGAGCTGCGAGGCGGGGTGGTGGTACTGGCCTGCTACTCTCCTCAAAATGAAAATACTCTCTTGTCTCGGTTCCTCAGTTCTCCCTGTCCTCTTTCGAATTTCATGCGGTTACTGTCACTTATCCAGTCAAGCTCACCATTGCTGTTGTGTACCGCCCACCGGGGCCTCTTGGTGAGTTCTTGGAAGATCTCGACACATTAGTCTCGCACTTCCATGACGATGGCTCAGCACTCATCCTGCTCGGTGACTTCAACATCCAGACTGATAAGTTAGAACCTCTTCTTTCCTTCCTCTCCTCCTTTGACCTTTACCACTCCTCTTCTCCTCCTACCCACAAGGCCGGCAACCAGCTGGATCTTATCTTCACTTGACACTGTTCTACTGCTAACCTCTCAGTCACTCCCCTCCAGCTCTCTGAGCACTATTTCATGTCCTACTCCCTCTCCCTCTCCTCTCCCCCCGTACTTCCTCCACCTACCCACATGGTTTCTACCTGTAGTCATCTCCGCTCCCTCTCCCCGGCTGATCTTTCCTCTTCTGTTACCTCTGCTCTCCCTGACCCAGAATCCTTCTCTCTCCTATCCCCTGATACTGCTACTGACCTTCTCCCCTCCACCCTTTCCTCTTCTTTGGACAACCTCTGTCCCTTCACCTCCAGCTCTGCACGGCCAACTCCACCTGCCCCATGGTTGTCGGACTCAGTGCGTACTGATAGACGGAGCTTAAGAGAGGCTGAGCGTAAATGGAGAAAAGGCAAACTCCCGGAGGACCTTCTTAACTTCCAAGCTCTTCTTTCCACTTTTTCCACCACTCTATCTACTGCTAAAGCTGCATTCTCCTGCTCCAAAATCCTAACCTCTGCTTCCAATCCTAAAAAACTCTTCGAAACTTTCTCTTCACTCCTCCAACCCCCACCCCCTCCTCCCACTTCCTCCCTTCTCCCTGACGATTTCGCCAACTTCTTTGACAAGAAGGTAAACGATATCAGGTCCTCCTTCTCTCAGCCCCCCGGTCCCTGTCTATCCTCTCCCTCACTCTCTCAGTGTCCCTGTCCACCCTCTCCAGCTCTACCCTCTCCAGCTCTTCCCCCTTAGCTCTCCCTCCCCTCTCCACGCCCCATCTTACCCTATCTGGCTCCCCTCTCCCCTAACAAGGTCCTCAACCTTGTTACATCTAACCGCCCCACCACGTGCTCTCTTGACCCGATCCCCTCCCCTCTTCTTCAGTCTATTGCGATTGAACTCCTTCCTTTCCTCACCCACCTCATAAACAAATCCCTCATTTCAGGATGCTTTCTCACGGCTTTCAAGACTGCCAGAGTCACCCCCCTTCTGAAAAAACCATCACTTGACCCCTCTGATGTCAAGAACTTCAGACCGGTTTCTCTTCTACCCTTTCTTTCCAAAACACTTGAACGTGCTCTCTTTACTCAACTGTCTTCCTATCTCCACCAAAACAACCTCTTGGACCCCAACCAGTCCGGGTTCAAAGTGGGTCACTCGACAGAGACAGCCCTCCTTGCGGTGACAGAGTCGCTTCACGCAGCAAGAGCAAACTCTCTCTCCTCTGTCCTGATTCTCCTGGACCTGTCTGCAGCGTTTGACACTGTGAACCACCAGATCCTCCTCTCCACCCTCGAGGGGATGGGCGTCTCAGGCTCTGCACTCTCCCTGTTTGCATCCTACCTGACAGGTCGATCCTACCAGGTGACATGGAGGGGGGGCGTGTCGGAACCACGCATGCTGACTACGGGGGTTCCACAAGGCTCAGTCCTGGGCCCCCTTCTCTTCTCGCTCTACACAACATCTCTGGGTTCTGTTATTCGCTCGTATGACTTCTCTTACCATTGTTATGCCGATGACACCCAGCTGGTCTTATCATTTCCCCCCGGTGACACTCAAGTGGGGGCACGCATCGCTGCGTACTTGGCTGACATCTCGAAGTGGATGACGACACACCACCTGAAGCTCAACCTGGACAAAACTGAGCTACTGTTCCTCCCGGGGAAGGGTTGCCCACACCGAGACCTGTCCATCACCATTGACGATACCGTGGTGACGCCAACTCGGACTGCAAGAAACCTGGGTGTGACCCTGGATGACCAACTGTCATTCTCAGCAAACATTGCATCAGTTAAACGCTCCTGCAGATTCCTGCTCTACAACATCAGGAGGATTCGCCCCTTCCTCACTGATGAGACGGCGCAGGTGCTCATCCAGGCTCTTGTCATCTCCCGCTTGGACTACTCCAACTCACTACTTGCCGTAGCCCCGGCGTCGGCCATCAGACCTCTGGAGCTTGTCCAGAAAGCTGCAGCTCGCCTGGTGTTCAATCGCCCCAAGTTCTCCCACACAACTTCCCTTCTCCGTTCTCTACACTGGCTCCCTGTAAGAGCTCGCATCCAGTTTAAGACTCTGGTGCTAGCCTACAGGGCAGTGAAAGGAACAGCTCCTTCCTATCTCCAGGCCATGGTCAAGCCCTACACCCCCGCCCGACCACTTTGCTCTGCTGCCTCGGGTCGACTGGTTGACCCGTCGCTCAGAGGTCCCTGCAGCCGATCGACCCGGTCGCGGCTGTTTTCTGTCCTGGCCCCACAGTGGTGGAATGAACTCCCCACTGACGTCAAGACAGCGGAGTCGCTGCCCATCTTTCATCAGGCTGAAAACTCACCTCTTCAAGAAGCACTACCCTGAGCCTTCCACTTAGCATTTACTTAGCATCTTTTGTATTCATACTAGCTTATTGCACTTATTGTTGTCTTATTAGTTTGTGGCACTTATTGCATTCATTTGTTTCTGCACTGTACGTTGGCTCTGCTTTATGCTCTTAGATGCTTGTTTGAAGAAAGGAGATGCACTGATGACTTCTGGTGACTAGTTGTTCTCTCGAAAACCGATGTTGAATACACTTATTGTAAGTCGCTTTGGATAAAAGCGTCTGCTAAATGACTGTAATGTAATGTAATGTAATTTTAATAAATGATACTGGTCTTGGTGTGGATTAGCTTTTTATTTAAAAAAATGTTTTGTTGTTGCTATGATTGAAGTGTTTGAGATGAAATGATCTCATCAGTATTGATCATTACAAATTAAATTCATGCTTTCCATGTATGGAGTTCAATACTAGATATAATAATACAGATTTGTCTTTTACTAGCAAATTGGCAAACAATAGAATTTTTTTTTTTTTAACTGAGCTCATTATTATGAAATATCTGTAGAGTTTGTAGCAGCTAATTTATTTCGGGCAGTTTTTATTTCAATATCTTTTCCAAAAAAATGTTTTATATCAAAATTTCATGATGCACTTTTCCGCACGGTCAGTAAAGAATATACAAAAGGGTTCTCAGTCTAAATGATTAGTCGTTCATTAACATAACTGGTTAATATTTCATAATGAGGGCCTGAGTCAAAAATAGATCATGTTATTTCACAATGTCGTTATTTTATTTTATTATTTTCTTTCATATTTTGCCTGAATTTCAAAGAATATAGAAGGTTCATTCATAAAAACAGATAAGCCATTCTAAAAATGACTCAACCAAAACTAGTTTGATTGATATTAAGTTGAGGGCACAATAGAAAAAGGTCTGTTATCCAAACAAGCCAACATGAATTTGTTTTGATGATTGGACGAAAGAAAAACATGATTTTGTCAACGAAATGAAAACAGAGATATCTACTTTTGCAAATGAACCCTTGATGTTTTTCATATTATTAATTCATATTTAACACTTTTGATCACTATAGAAATGTCTCAAACATCCTGAAATGACTGCACGATGACCGTCTGGTTGAAAAGAGATGCAAGAGGACGCAGTGAGTATGAAGGCAGTGATACAGACACACTGAGTGAGGTTGAAGTGTGTGTGTGTGTGTGTGTGTGTGTGTGTGTGTGTGTGTGATAGGGATCTTTATAGCCGGGAATCATTCAAACAGAATCAAGTTCCAGCCTCCGCTGCTCTGTCTTATCAAGTGGCAGTGTGCTGACCGATGATCAACATGCCTTTACATAAGTGGGACTAATCCATCTGCAGGTGCTCACTCCATCAGTCCTGCTTACACACCTCTCAAAGTGGAGCTTTGGATACAAAAAGAAAAACTATTTTGCTGCAAAGTCATCGAACAGTTTGCATGATTCTGTTGACATCAGAGATGACATCATAGACTGTTTCATCCATCCATCCATCATCTTTAAGTGAGGTGCAGCCCTACACTGTTTCAGTATTAATTAATAAATCACATCCACCTGTAGGCCATTTGTGCAGTTTGCGGATATGAAAGACTTCCGATACCTGCCACTAAAAGTGAGATCGGAAAAAGATCTGGTGGTAAAACTAGGAGAAAGAAGACAAGAAGTCAGCAATGTTGATTTATCTTCTCTCTCGAGCTTTAAAGACTAAAGGATAGTTATGCTTTCTTACAACATGGATCGTTGAGTGTGAAAGGCTCCGGTGGGACGAGAGGTGGTGGACTTTGTGTTTACATCAATGCTGCTTGGTGCTGCTGGTTACTGTCCTCCTGATGCAAATTCATGAAATGCACTCCAGGAATGCACTGTTCTTGTGAACTGCATTCCGTTGTGCAACCCTTTGTTGCTTCCGGCTAAATTGATTCTATGATATCTTGGTTGCAATCATTTAGCTGATGCTATGATCCAAAGCAACTTCAAATAAGTTCATTCAAACATGTGGATACAACCTGAACAATTGCCAGAATCATGCAAGTACAACAACTTTATCAAATGCATACAAGAAGAGAAAGGGTGATTTTCTGCTGTCCTCATTGGGAGTCGTTTCCACCATCATGGGACCAGGATGATACTGGTGAGCTGTAGCCGGGCACTACTGGCAGTAAGGGAGTAGCAAGCTGACTGACGGTAGCAGAACCTAGTGTACAGGGTTTAAGGTGTAGGGTATAAGCTGTGACCATGTCCTGGATGTAGCCTTAGCCATTCGCACCACGAGTACACTTTGAGTCCAGAGTGTCCCCTTGTGTGAAGTATTCTCTTCAGCTGCAGGAGGAAGACGGCATGAAGACGGATGTGAGTGTGTCCACGGTGTGCTGGTCTCTGATGGACCTGCATGATTTCATCTGATTTAGTAAATAGACCATCTTCTCTCTGATGGTCTTGTTTACTGATGTAGGTCATATAGAGACATCAGTATTAATTTGAGACTATTTCATCACAGTAACTTTAAATTCAAACTTTGGGATAGTTGTGCATACACTGTAGATAGCACAGGCTTCATCTGTCAAACCACCACCTACAGGTCCTAACAGCATGGCCTCATTCCCAGCCCTTCCACCAGTGTCTTGAAGCAGACCCGCTCCCATGGGTTTTCCATCAAATCCCACATTTCCCCCCCCAAAAGCTCACACACCCTTCCCTCCACAATGAATTCACTCATGTATCCTCTGTTCCAGTCAAGGTCAAGGCCTGTGATATCTTAATTAAAGAGGAAAAGTTTTCGGTCTTCAAATGAAGCCTCAAATTTGTGAGCTGCTCAATCAGATCTTTTAAACTCACTTAACCCCTGATTAATCCCTCGCGCTCCTCAGTTGGCCGAGCTTCCTGCTAATGAAATTAAGAGCAGAAGAAGCTGCATAACAGATTCAGCACACATCGCTGAGACACCGGCTGCGTGAGCCAGAGGCTTCACGGATGTGTTGGAACTCGGAACATGTCTCAGGACATCCGTCTGTGCTGCCTTATTCTCAGAGTCATATTTTACCAACGCCGAACATGAACACAAAGTACCTCAATGAGATCGCACAGCTCCGGCCGTACACAACATCTATGTGGTCATTTGTAAATTACCATCCACCAATTAAAGGACACAGATCTTATACATACACACAGAATGAACATTGGACATGGACATTACATTTCTGCATGAGGGACGTTTACAAGTGATGTCTCTGCTCTGCAAAACAAGTCTGTGTTCAGGATTGTGACCCGGGTGGAAGTAATGAGAACAGGAGTGTTTCCAGATATACACTTTATTTTGTAAAAGATCAAAGAGTTCAAATTAAGACTTCCAGGATCTGAGGGACAGATTGATCAATATTATGTTCTTCACTCTAAATCTCTTTCCTGCTTCACATGAAACAAATGATCTTTAACTCATCACATCCTTCACAATGACCGTGAATGTATTGTGTGTGGAGCTAACTGCTGTGACTCTTGATAAGTACATTATACAGAGCAATAACAGCAGTGTTCTCTGTCTCACAGCACGGAACATGAGTGTGGCTCACAGAACAGATGAGTGCTGCCTGGATGCACACTGACAGGCCTGTGTGGTGAGTCTATGGTTGTGATTGGTCGTTAGAACAGGAAGTCCACAGCTTCAGGCCATAGGCAGCTCATGATAGGCAGCGTACTGTCCGGTCACGTGATGGTAGATCTGTACAAACAAGAACAAATGGAAGAAACTCTTGCAGAAAAGTAGTGTGTGTGTGTGTGTGTGAGTGTGTTTGTCCCCACCTGCCTCTCGATGTCAGCCAACAGGCTGCTGGCTCCCAGGCGGAACAGGACCGGACAGAGCCAGTCGTTGCCCAGCTCCTCTTTGATCAGAGCGAGCCACACCAGAGACTCCTGAGCCGTCCGGATCCCCCCCGCTGGCTTAAAGCCCACCTGAGGTACACATACAGCTCGGTCAACAGGACGACGCGCTGCGCTGAGAGCATGGTTACACTTGGAATGAGTAACATTTAACTGCTGCATAGCCAATACCCGCCAGCATATCTCTAAAGTCTGATCGAAATAGTTTTCTCTCCTGTGAATATGAATATGACTTGAGAACAGGTGAGAAAAACAGTTTTGCCAGGATAATCGTTGAAAGAACTTGTTCCAGGTGATAGTTTTCTTTTTGTCAGGTTGAGTTTTCAAAGCGCCAGTAATTCAATTTCAGAGAAATTAGGAGATGATGGATGTTTATTCTTAATCTAGGTTAAATAAAGGCGTGTCCAAGTCAACCAAGCAATTATCTTTTCTTATCTCATTTTAAATAAACATTATTTACTAAAATATAAATACACAGGCCACATTACTGCATCACTGTATCATGTGTGCGATAGTCACACTGATCTGTCTTTGGCTGTTTTTATTCTATTCTAACAGACTGTATGGAAGTAATAAATAGAGCAGACACGCGTCATCATTCAACAGTACAGTACCTTGTGGCCTGTGCACAGGAAGTAGTCCCGGATGGCCCTCACCATCACTATGGCAACAGGGTAAGTGGCGTTGACGGACTCCTTTCCTGTGGACGTCTTGATGAAGTCCGAGCCTGTCGGGGTTTAGACGGGTGACATTGAGATAGCGTCATGTTGCACTCATGGTTTCTATCTCCTATGTTCTCTATTGAGACCTGGAGGATTCAACAAGCTGCTGATGGAGGCTCAGCAAGAAGGACGGCTGATGCTGGGCTAGTATATCTATCAACTTATACGCCCGATCTAAAAGAGAATCAAACATCTTGTTGTTCCGGAGCAGATGATGGAAGTAGCTGAGGAGGGAGCATGTCGCTGCCTTCTGCTCTCCGTTGAGAGCTGCACATGCTCAGTCCCGATCGGGCACTCGTGAGAAAATGGCGGCGTGTAAAGACAAAGTTTAAGAGCTGAAGTGCAAGAAAGCATTTGAATTATCCGGGAAACAGGAGTTTAGATAGGCACCGTTAGAGCATGAGGGTGAACCTTTAGAGCCATTTACTTAGATACAGATAAAACATGTCAGAACTAACATTGTTCGTTGTTGCTATTTCATAACTGCTAATATATAAGAGTATTTTGTGAAAACAGACGTGTGCACGTAGAATTGTGAGCCAAAGGAAAGCCTTGACACAGTGCCGGTGGGGGTACGGACAGGGCATCACTCTGACCGTCTGGCCCGGACAGACAAGAACATATGCTGCCGATGATGGCGAACAGAGGGCAGCTTGCACGCTCATCAATAAAATCCTTCATTTTTCCTTCCCTTCCTTCACAGCCAATTATTTTTATCAGCTTTCCTGATAAAAATAGAAGATGAACTGACACTCTCTAATAGATTACCCACAAACTGCAGGAAAGAAAAAACCCATCCCTCCTGCCTCTCTGCTGTATAATGACTGTTCATTACTGAACAGAACAAGATGAACATTTTCCAGTTCATTAAAGACATGTTCTATGTATTCTTCCAGTCAGGTCTTCCTTTCAGCCTCTCTCCCCTCTTCCTCAAACTGGCATAATCCTTAAGATTCGTTATGGGGAGTCTTAATTACCAGATAATGGATAACGGTTATTAAATGCGGGTGGCGGTAATGAAGCTCTATTCATTTGCGTGGGCAGGGGGATACTGGCGAGGGACCGGCGGAGTAAAATAGCCTGCATCGAAGATTAATAGGTAAAATTATCATTCAATTTTAGGAATCTCATACGCAATTCATAGGAACAAGAGGAGATTAAGGAGCGAGTGTGGCGACAAAAGCAATGCATTTTAATAATGATCTCAATCAGAGCCCCTGACAATTTGGTTCTGTAATCGGCTTATTATGTGATGGCTAGTTAAGCGCG